TATATATATATATATATATATATATATATATATACATACATACATACATATAGATATATATTATGCGACTTTTGGACTGCTGTCTGCTCTTGTGGGCCTCGAAAGCCGAACGTTCGTCGTACATGATTATTATGTACTTATATACGAGTCGTACACGCCAAAGATGCTCACCGCTCGAGAGACTCGCGGCCTCTTTTTCTCTCTCTCTCTCTGTTCTCGCTGCGTTAATCTCATTTGCGACGACGCGGTGTATGATAAACGAGGTTACCTCGTTATTAGGATTACCGGGAGATTTTGTAGCGCCATTATCGCAGCTTTTTCACATGCTATTTCTTTTTTTCTTTCCACGTACACACGGGTGTCGTTCTTTGAGGGCGCGAGGGGGGCCATGTGTTTTTCTTATTTTAATTTTGTCAAATTATTATTTCACGTTTCCGAAGTTAAACGGTTATGTTGCGCGAAATAAGCTGCGGTTAGTGTAAATAAGCGAATAACAGTTTCTCGTTTCTCCGATTGGAACAATTTGGAATAATGTAAAATACGCTTTAAATTTACGCTAAATTCTCGTCGCACAATCACACTTAGTGTGTGTATGTGTGTACATATGCCCGCGACGACTTTTATTTCCGTTTTATCGAGATTATTTTCGAATATGTATTATCCGCGTATGAGAGCGTTTGGAGCTCACGCGGTGAGCGTTGGTTATTACAGTTGCGCCGTCATTAATGTTTAGGCAGATGCATGATAGTCCTGTCTATTTGTCTCTATCTCTTTGTCGCTGCCTTAAAACCTTCGTCTTAGTAATCAGTAGTAAGTTACATACTAATAGACCGTATCACTCAGACACGATCTTCGCGATCAGGCGAGCGAAAAAAAGACTCTGTCCATCTCGGTACGATCGAATCATGATCCGCGATCAGGCTTCCTCATCGAATCCAACATCCATCGACACGCTCTCGCCATTACGTCCGCTTCTCTTTTCTCTCTTTCTCTCTCTCTCTCTCTCATTCTCTCTCTTACCGCATAATATCGTCGCCGAAATAACATATATTGTCACCCTCTCTCTCCCTCTCTCTTTCGTTGTCTGTTTGTCTCAACGGTATGAATATTTACGACATACTTAACAATCACACAGCTGTTCGATGTTGCTCGTCGCTAATAAAAGCCGATCGCGCCGAAAAAGTCGAACGTTGTCTCGTGTGTGTCACTTAATTAGTCATGCGGTACGATTCAGCGGGGAATTATATATCGTATTTGTGTATCGTGTGATCTACAGTATTGAATACAAGGTTAATCGCGAATCAAAGAGACACGCGCGCGCGCGCATACACACAGACAGATTCGCACACACATAAACTCACGCATCATCCATCAGTGTCTCTCTTGACTCTTCGGTGCAAAACAATCGGCTCTGCCACCGTCGATGCACACGAACGTGCGTATCAACGTGTGTGTACACCGAGGGGAAAAATTACCGTTCTCTAACTCTGGCGCGACTCCAGTGACGCAATCAGCAAGCCGGCGCGAATGGATAGCGCGTTTTTCATCGCCCATCCGTCGACGATCGACGCCACTGCATAATTCATGTTTCGCTATTATTCTCTCTCTCTCTCTCTCTCTCTCTCTTTCTACCCCCTACTCTCATCCGTCTCTCTCTCTCTCTCTCCCTCCTAACGCGTGCTCGATCATCCTCCATCACTTTCCACTGTATCGTCACGTCCGTGCCGTTATCGCCATCGTCATCACCGTCATCAGCACCACCATCGCTACTATCATCGTCGTCTTCGTCATCGTTATCATCATCATCATCGCCATCGTCAAGTACCTTCGTCGCCCGCGCGAAAAACGAACGTTACGACGGTCGTCCCTCCCCTCTGCCCCTCTTCGCGGATCGAAACTAGACCGTCCGTGATCCATTCCTCTTCTCTCCGTCTTTCTCTCTCTCTCTCTCTATCTATCTCGCGTGTTCTCCTCATTCTTCCACGTAAGCTCTACGCGCGTGAATATACGCGGGCAAGTGTCGTGATTAGATTGATCAGGAGTGGCAGCGGGTGTTTCAGCCGCGACGGGCCGCGTCCGCTGGAGCATACGGGAACCCTCGACGGTTACCTCGGCGACTGGTTTGTCGACGGGTGTGCCGCCTATACCACCATTACCGCCGCCACCCCCGGGCCCAGGGCCTGCCCCGCTCCACAGGAGGCCCCCGCAAGCCCATCGCAAATGTACGTTCACTGTGCCACGTACCTGCTGCCCGCCTCACGTCGGTCTGACATTTTCAGAAACTGCATACAGCCCACAACTACCACAACCACCACCGCCACTACCCTCCGTCTCCGCCTCCCTCTCTAAAACGACTCACCCACCCGCCCTGACTCGAACTCGTTGATCTTGATACATCTTATTAGGCTCACCGTAGACCTTGTATGTAGATCTCCCTCAGAGCGGTCTCTCTCTCTCTTTCTCTCTCTCTCTCTCTCTCTTTCTTTCTCTCTCTCTCTCTCTCCGTGTGAATGATTATGACTATATATATATTTCCGTTATATATACCCTTTATACATATATTTATATATATTATATATATATACAGTCTGCTCCAAGAAAGCTATCGCAAAGTCAGAGGTTCGCTGGAGCCTCGCTTAGAGAATCGCTTGATACGCGACTCCGCACTCGAGTATCCGAGGGCTAACACGACGTACACGAATGGACCTCAAAGTACTTCTTCGCCTTTCGCGAGGCTGATGATTCGTCCGCTGATAATTCGTCATGCCGGAGAGCTCTGTATCGTTGAAGGGGCTTCAAATCAACCGCGCGAGTCTGTCTCACTTGCGCCGGGCGCAACGGCAGCTTCAACCGTGACGCTTCCGATGTATAATTCGCGAAAACTCGGAGAGTGAGATAATAACGCGCCGCCGCGTACTCGAGTGCGGGAGAACGATTAAAATGTTTCGACAACTCTCCGAGATGTGCAAGGAGTGAAGCGTGATTCGCGGCGCAGCTGCGGGGAAACGGATTCCCCGCGTGCGAAACAACAAGTCGAAACCTCGCGGAACGATGTTTCCTCGCGTGACTCTCGATTCTCGGATCCCGTGTGCGATATTTGGAAGCTCGCAGGAGGCACACGCGCTACCTCAGTCGGACACCGACGCGGTATTTCAGCTACGACGAAACGTTATTCGTCACGTTTTCAACTCACCCTCACACGCGGAATCGTCCGTCGTGCCGCGAATTACGTTCCACCCCCCGAACCCCTCAGCAGCCCTTCGCCCGCCAACGCACCCCCTCCAATAAAAACGACTGACCTTGTAGGAGCGCGCTCTTGCATCCTCACTTGGCGGTACCCAAGTTAGACCTCGACCAGTGGCGATGCTCGCGTGTCGAACGCGTTTGAATTCGAGCGAAAATAACAAAAATGTGTGACACATGCAGCGATGCGTGCGAAAAAGTATGCGTGAGAAAAAACTGGTTGAATGTATTTTTAGTCACAATTCGCTGAGCGAGTTTGAGATCAATTTTTTAATTAGTTGGTTAGTTAATTAATTAGCTTGATAGATGCGAGATTGTCGCGAAATTTCATCCCGAATTTCATCGCGATTCGACACACACGTCGTTGCTTGTCTCGACGAAACCGAGGATCGAAATCATCGGAACGCTCAAACGTCCAAGTCTTCCATCCAGAGCGGCCTTAATACACGCGGCAACGTTCAATAGCGAATTCGAGATAAGAGCATATCGATGTCGCAAGGAAAATCGTTTCGCTTTACTTTACGGCCGACACGGTTGCGCGCTTAAAATTCGATTGCATCGTCGTAAACAGCCAGAAGTTTGTCGGTCCGCCGAGAGTAGCGGGACGGGGGTTAATTTGTAACGTAACGAGGTGCACGACGGCTGAACTTACAGTGAATCGCGTAATTGCTGATGAGAGAATTTTTCCCTCGGGGGGCTCTTCGTGATCTCGAATTTCCCGTGGAAAACGAGAGCGAACGCGAAGAGACACGAGGTCGCCCGTTCCACCACGGAGGCTCTCTTCCTCCCCGCGTCCGGCGATCGCACGCGCGCAGTATGTCACGAATGCAATATAAATACCGCGGTTTCGACGATTCCGGTTAGCTCCGTTAACACAGCGCATTAGACCGCGGTCTAATGAGAGAAGCGGTTATTATTTTGACGGAGCTTTAACGGAGCGCGCGCGCGCGCGCGCACAAAGCAAGAAAGCCCCCACAGGCTCTATTCATCATTGTACTCTTTCTTGTACGGTATGTTCTAGCCTTCCTCGCGACCACCGTTCCTCCCCATCGCCCTCTTCATCACGCCAAATCCACTACCACCACCACCACCACCATAACCGCCACGAACACTACCACCACTACCACCACCGCCGTCACTACCGCTAACACTAGCGCAAGTACCGCCGTAAAACCCCCGATAAAGCATTCGGTTCATACGACCGTCCATCACCTACCTACGTCGGGTGCTGCCGCTGCGGCCAGGCCGGAGCGTGTTAAAGATTTAAGCCGGTGCCAAGGTGCGAACGAGGCTCAGGCAAAATTGGCCCGCGGGCATCCAGCAGCTGCGGCTGCAGCCGCCGGCGATGATCCATCCAAATCATCCTCCGATAGTCGATCCGCGTCAAATCGAGCCGCTACCGCCGCCCAAGCTAGTAAGTAGCATGCTGCCGGTTAAGTCTCGGTCTAGTCTCCGTTTTTCTTATATTACGTCGTCCAGTTAGCGTG